TTATATAAAATTCTATTCAATTTTTTTCGATATTATTGTGTTTTATTCCATTCTTTTATATTTCATTCTATCTCATTTAATTTATTCTATTCCATTCTGTTTGCTTCTACTCCATTCTATGCTATTATATTCTATTTCATTCTACTCCTTTCTATTCTATTACTTGTATGTATATTTTCTCTGCTATCATATAATTTTCCATCCTTGCACAGCAGGTTAATTTTTAAAATATTAATATACGCTAAAGTATTCATTTAATAATTTTAAGCATGCTTAATAATTTTGAATATACTCGTACATACATACATATATCCTTTTTATAAAATCCTCAAATTGCTGTTCAGAGAGCCAAGGCAGTAGGCTGTTTTCCTAACTGGTTAGGCAATGTTTGAAACATCCAAGCTTTAATTTTGATATACTCAGCTCCACTTCACAATACTTTGGATTTTAGGAGAAAAACACCTAAAAAAATAAGAATGAAAATAAAAAAAACTAAATTTTTTGTGTTAAGATTAGATTTACTTGTAAACGGAAAGTGATTAAGTGTCATACGAATTAGTTATAAGAGTAAAGTGGTATTATTCATTTTTCTAAAAAAAAGAACACACAATTTTATTTGAAACACAAGTCAACACCACTATAGAGTTACTAGCAGAGTATGTAGGGTTTTATAAATTAATAGGCGACACCCATGGATATCCGACATTATTATACTTATTATAGTATTATATTTTTAATTTGAATGCTCTCAACTAATGAAGAAGGTTAATCGATTCAACACTATTGAGGTAAGTTGCGAAGACCGATTTAGACTACCGAGAATATATTCATTTCTCTTCACTTAGGGCTACACTAACTTGTCATACATTAATGGGTAAGTTTGGAAAGATGCTTTAAAGTAGTGGAAATATATTATTAAGCTGTTATTCCCATTTTGTGAGGATAATTTCAAAACTACATCTAAATCCTACCTTTTTTGATATGGACTTAACTTTAGCTTGAAACCTGGACAAGATAAGATTTGTTAATGCAAGGTAAGCCTGAAAGAATGCTTCAAAGTAGTGAAAAAAGATCACAAAAGTCTTATCAAGTTCCGCAGAACTCATTTCAAGTCAAATGTCATATATTTTGTTGCGAAAAGAAATTCTTATATATTGAAACGACACTTTTATTGGTGATAGGTGAAGCCACACTTCATACCTTGATATGAAAAGAAACAAATATCTTTTGGTAAGTTTTAAATAATTCTTAGTACCAGCAATAAATCAATGAGTTCTTCTCTTTTCAGCTTTGCAGTGGTGGTTGTTGGATTACCTTCGGATACCCGGCGGAAGTAAACTGTGCTCTTCATTGTCACTTCAGTTCCTCTCAAGTTATAATATACATTTTGCTTTTTGATTAGTTATGAAGAATGTTGTCTCGGAAAAAGAGGAATTCACTTCTGCCTTTTTCGGCTTCTGCAGTTATTTCGATTGCAACGAATGAATTATATATTTTGATACGCGATGAATATTGTCGATATACATATTTTGATACTATGTAAAACTGTATATTTTGATACTAAAACGAAATTATATATTTTAATACTATGAATAAAACTATATATTTTGATACTAAGAAGCAAACGTTGTTTAACAGCAAGATGCCTGTGAATATAGGTGCTAGATATAGATCGATAGATGTAGGAATAGGTAGATATACATGGTTAGATCGAAATAAATAAAGATGGATAGATATTCAGAGATATGGATAGACATAGATATATGGATAGATAAATACTGGTATGTAGATAAATAGATATGAATGATTATACGTACTATATATACATAGATATACATATACAAGTACATACATAGATATTTATATATAGATATAGACAGATGCGCATACGGTAGATAATTATAGAAAGGCATAGATATGGATATATACAGATGGGTCTAGATAAAGAGAGACATAGATAGCTTTAGATAGATATATACCGATAAAGATTAACGTATAAAGACATATAAAAAATAGGTGTACTTATACTTATATCAGTTGAATGGATTGAAACAGAACTTTCACATTCAAATCGATCAGTGTTTAGTGTAAATGTTTGAAATGTAATTTTTGAAAATATTGAAAAATATCCTTCTATCTTCCTATTTTGCAATTATTATATTTATTATTTTTTATTTATACTTATTTTTCTTTTGCCTTTAGGCACAAATTATGACTTAGGAAGGGGGTAAGGATAATGTAACGGATATTTTTGGAAGCCAGTTCTATTGGTTGAATATTTAGGAGCAAGCTTTTCTAGTTTTGGGCGGCAAACACAAAGGATCGCCGCCATCTGGGCAGATGAAAGGCTTAAAGAGCATCTTTCGCATTTCGGGTGCTGGACCAACAAAGGACACATTAGCACACACACATATATATATGTATGTGTATATTATAAATATGTATATAATAGAATAATTATTTGATTAACAAAAGCGCGCCGGGCTAGTAGTCGACCGGGCAGTTGTCGGGGCGGTCTACGAGTCTATTGTCTTGAAGCTCTAGGAGATGTTTGCGACAGCTGCCTGGACTCGCTTGGTGTCCAGATGGCCTGGGATGCTGCAAGGACCACCGTTCACACAACACACACAGGACGTTCCAAACTGGCCACTGGCCAGTGGCCAACTGATGACCAACTGGTCAGTTGACCCGCTGCCAGCAGCTGCCAGCGAAACTAGAAAAGCTTTTTGTTTAGAGCCTCTTTGTCATACAATAGAGCCAGAGCCGGACCCGTCACAGAGCAGAACGCGTCGTACAATAGGCCAGACATTTTTTGGGCAGAGTTTGGGTGCAGAGAACAAAAGGGACACGTCCTTCTTTGACGGTCGAGAGTCCTGCCAGTTTAATGATCGCATCTCAGGCCCGTTCCCGTTTTGAAAACAGAATTTCCTTTAGGATAAGAGGAGAATTTAGTATCAGCTTTATTCAGGAACTTTCTAGCATAAACAGGATATCAAAGCCAGAAACCGGGCGAGCTGCCTTTGAACTCATCACGAAATCATAAGCGAGGGCTCCTTGGAAGCAAACCAGAAGGCTCTTTTAACAGAAGTGATTGACGACGTAAGGAATTTAGTGAGGATATCAAAACTTTGAACTAACAACATTTTGAATATCAATATCAAGCTTCGAAGGAATTCAGGAAGCAGATAGTTGATCCTATCTAAAATGGTTGTACTGCTTCAAAAAAACAGACCACACACATTAGAAGCGAACAGAAACAATCCACACAGTCCGTCATCATCATTAGGGTGTATAGATTCTGGGAGAAACACTCCTTCTTACCCTTCTGCAACTTGTAGATCTTTGGAGGACAGTTTCTCGCAACTAATGTCGTGCGCTGTTTAACGGGTGGGCAACAGATTGCTGCAACTCAACCTCTTCAGTAGGTGCTTTATGTTGGACCTATTTTTACACATATACCCTGTAGCCTAAGTACCCTTAAAGGGTATATTAGATTTGTGCCAAGCACATGTAACAGGGAGAAGGAAGTATCTCTATATTAATCTGCATAACTAGAGAAATTGATATAGACCTGTCTGTCTGTCTGAATGAACGCGTAGATTTCCGAACCGACAGATCCCATACTGATCATACCTGATACGTACCTGATACTCACCTTATCCTTCGGCGTTACGAGTTTATTTTGTCTATATCGATGACCGCGTAGATTTTGGAACCGACTGATCCTATACTGATCATACCTGATATGTAGACTCTCCTAATCCATAAGCAATATGTGTTTATTTTATTTGTTGGATTTGTTTTGTCAATACTGTCCACAATTCCAAAGCTATATAAACTGAATTGTAAGTCCATTCTTTACGCTCGTTTCCAATTTCATTTAAGTCAGTTGGTTCTAAGAAAAGTTATAAGCGAAATAATTGTAATCCAAACTGAAGCAGCGGGTTCGTTCTTCTATTTGCTACTGCTATGCGCCCATATAACATATAACAGGGTATTACACTGTCTGACCTGCCCGATTGGAATGGTCCATCTTGCTCAGCTTGTTCTTGTCCGTGTTCTTTGTCCACCTGAAGTGGGTATCTGTCGATGCCGATAGCTTCTCGAATAGCTTTCATTGACAATAAAAGGACAATTAAAATTTTGTCGTCCTGTTTCATAATTTTCTCCATCTTAGTGGAGGTCTATTCATGGCTTGACTGTCCCGTCTTCCAGCATCTGTGTGCTCTTCCATTTCCCAAAAATGAATGCTATATCAGATCTTATTTTACTAATAATTAATTAATTATTTATTTATTTATTTAAACCTATGTTGCTGTTACGTTATATTATGTTAGACTTAGAGAATTAGGTGTACATACTTATGGATGTACTTTAGATATTCTACAGACTTACATAATACTTAGGGAGCTAACAAATAAAAGTGCCATGCGATTGTTGTTGTTGTTGATGTGTTTCAATATTTTGAAACCCTAAAATATTACTTGACTTCGATGATCGATCATTTCATTTTTTGATATTTGTTGTTGTTAACTATTATTGTGATCAGATTTCAGTTAATGTTTTACGTATGAGGCGGTATGTTCTGATGCTGTTCTGATTCTAACAACAGCCACAAATTTCAAGCTGAAAGTAATTCCACAAACTTTGCTGTGATTTGGAAATGTCGAGGGGAGAATTTCTTAAATATTTTCATTCAAATTAAATCCGCATTCCATTTACAGCAGAAGTTGTTCTTAGTAATGGAAGTGTTCTCACAATACCGTGACTCTTGTGGAGTGCCTCTCACACAAGCATTATTCTCACTCTCATTTATGTATGTATATGTATTATATAGTATGTTGCATCTTGTATATTGTTGTTTATTTTGTTGCTATTGCATATATATAACTGTATAAATGTGTGTGTGTGTGTGTGTGTGTGTGTGTGTGTGTGTGTACGTGTATGTGTGCTTGGTGGCTACTTAAAACATAAACTTAGTATAACAAGCAAAAAATAAATTAAAATAGGCATTTGTTTAATAATAGCAGTAATTGCGAATAATAGTAAACAAACAATGTTTTCTATATTATTCCTAAAATAGCTGTGTGTATGTATATATATATATATATGCGTGTGGGTGTGTGTGTATACAAAATGCACAGCAACCTATTGTAAATATATATATATATATGCATATGTGTGTGTATGTGTGTTCCACACTTAAATTAGTTTGGTTTTTGTGTAACTGTTTTAGTTGAAGTTCTTGTAAATATTGTTGTTGTTGTTATCATTATCGTTGCTCCTTCTTCCTTCCGCGGCGTTGCATGCGGTTGTGGTGGTGTGGTTCGTTTGCTTGATTTACTTGACAAAGGCCTCGGGTGGTATTTTATTCTCTTTGAAGAGCTGATCGAACACAAAGGCGGCGCGGCTATAATCCCAATTCGTTTCCTCCAGACATCTGCGGAAATGAATAACGAATAATGGAATTATTATGTAATAATAATAATAAATTGTCATTTTCTCTGAACAATGATTTTCTAAATGCTTTTCTATGTCTTTTAAATGAAAAGGTAAGGCTTTACACAAAACTATTTAGACGTTCAAGGACGAAAATAATTTGCTCCTCCCTCACACCTCCTTAGTTGAACTTTAAACCAAATATTACTTACTTGCGACTCCAGTCGAAATTCATTCGACTTTGCGCGCTCATCGTCTGAATCATTTGCATTTTGGTGACCTCATCTGGCGGTGCGCCCGTGCCAGGATTCGCCATGGCAGCGGTTGTTGTTGCTGGCGCCTGTGGTTGAGGTGGTTGTGGTGGCGGCAATATGCTGGCGCCACGGGATTGCGGCTGCAGGCGGCCTTGCAGCGAGGTGCTGGGCATATTTGTTGCAGAACTGATCGGGGCTGGGGTGTGCTGCGACCGTTTGAACTCCCGCATCTGTTCGGTTGTGGCGGTCGTTATGAAAATCACTTCGTTGCGAATGCAGAAACCGTTATTCTGCGGCACCACCACAAACGTGCGCATAAAGTAGCGCAACTCGTAGGCCTGCATCGATGCCGCTATAGTGCTGCTGGCACTAGCGCTCAACTCCTTGAACAGACCGCTGACCGTAAATACAATCATTTGGGGCTGTGAAGAGAGCAGAGAAGGTTCGAGAGATATTAATTTATTTTGAACGACAAACTTTTTGCCTGTTTGACCATACAGCTGCAGTCTATCTTCAGTCTAATAGTTTCTAATATTAATTGAATTTGTAAAATTTTCTAGTTCTGTGAATTCCTGTGATATAAAGGATATATTATGCCATAATTGATTTACATTTATAAAACTGTGTACTTATGCTGACTGTCAAATACTGAGCAACCAATTGGGTGAAAAGCGAGCTTAACATTTTTATGGTTTCAATAAACTTGCAACATTTTATTTCAATATTGTGCTTAACAAATTTTTTTTTTCTGATTAAAAAGTAACCAATTTCAGCTAGAACTGATTAGTATTATTGCTGTTTAAATGTATCCCGCTACTTACATTGTAAATGGTTAGATCGACGGTGAAGGTGCGTCGCTCATGCGATGTGCGCGGCCACTCATCCAATGCTGACACGCAGGCCAACCTTCCAGTTTTTAGATTACGCGTGCGCTGATCTTCGCGATCATTAACCATGCGACGCAAATTACGATTGAACTTCCAGAACTTATCCAATCTGCAAATGTGGCGAAGTATGACAATTAATGACAAGTCATTTGAAAAATGGGGAAAGAGCAGAGCGCGTTGTGTACTCACCTGCCCGCCTGGCTGGCCGAGGGCATTGATATTGAGAGCATCGCCTGCTCATGATATGCATCCAAGAGGGGCTGGCGATTATTCGAATCGAATATATTGAAGTATTGATCCAAAAACTGACGCACTACTTCAGCGCCAGCGCTGTCGGATAGATACGAGGCCTTATTCGGTGGCAGGGAAGTTGATTCCTGTAGATCGAAGTCGATTTGTGGGGGTAAAGTCTCGCCATCCTATATACAAAGGGGGTTGCACATATATGTATAAGAAACTGGAGGTAATGGAGGAGCTAGCGATCTATTTAAACACACATACCAATTTGGTGACCTTGGGGAATTTGCGTCGTACTTCGCTGTAAATAGTGTGAGGTGAATTGTTGAATTTGTCCATTTTGTTATATGCGATGAAATTGTACGCCAAAAGATGTTAATATGACAAAAGAGACAATTAGAGAATATCACTTAGAGGAAAAATAATATTTTCAAATATTGTTGTTTGATTCTCGTGCCGTTCGATTTTCAAACTTGTTCACATTTGTTTCACTCACAAAATATTTGAAATGTGTCTTTTAAAGCAGCGCTCTCTTGATGTAACAAAAACGTTCACAAATTTTTTAATAAATTCACATCTGAGCAAGCAAAGGTAGTCGTCTTCGTTTTAAGACCGAACTTTGCGGCTTCTGGGGCTCTGAATTAACCTTTTTTGTAGAGCAGAATATTTGGGCAGCGTTTGGGGTTTTTTGTTGTATTTCTTTTTTTACCCACTTTTAATATTTTTTCTTTTTTCTTTTGTTTTTCTCGTTTTCCTTTTGTTTTTTTGTTTTTTCTTCTTATTCATTTTTTCATGTTTTTTTTTTAAGTTCACCGCCAAGCTGCATGCAACAACACAAAAGCTCGCTGCTACGTCACGTCAAAAGTCGCACAGTGCAGTTTGTTTGTCGTCTCGTTTGTCTCTCTCTCTCACACTTTTCTTTAAGCATTTTATAGCAAAGATAACGCTTTAAACGACCCAACAACAAAGACAACAACAACAACGCCGCTTCCACTACGGCTGCCACATCGTCCCTTCAGTAATGCACGTTAGAGCGTTGGGGCTAATGCCGACAGGCCTCGGCGGTTCCGTCATAAATCATATATATGCATATATTATATACAAATATATATGTATGTGTGTGTGGGGGTATGTGGTGGGTAGTTGAGTGGTCGGTTTGGTGGTTTCGCGATTCTCTTGCAGTACCGTTTTGTCGTGTTTTGCATTCAGGGTGTGGTGGGTGGGTGGGTGTTGGTTTGCTGTTTGGTGCGGCTGTCGTTTTGAGGTTATGTACGTAGTGCCTGCGGCGCATGCGCACCCAACTTAACGCCATACAACGAAGTTTGTAACGGGCATAACACAACAACAACAACACAGCGCTGTACGTAACATAGTTAGACATAATCAGACGAGCCCCAAAAAAGGCGACTCGCCGACAACAGATGCGCGTGAGTGTGTGTGCGTGAGCGCGCGTGTGTGTGCTTTTGGGTGGGCGTTTTAACCATCGAACGAATTTATCAATTAATTGCTTGCATGAGAGACGTCCTCATATTATTGGTCTGTCTGTTTATATGTCTGGTCAGATCAGTTCAGTTGGGCTTTACATTTGTTTGCAGCATTTGGCCTTATTTTTTCTTCTTTTTTTTCTTTTTTTTTTTTTATTTTTTTATTATTTTCTTTGCTTTTTGAGTTTTTTTTTCCACTGTTAAAAATTCTGCAACACTTTAAATTTGCCGTACAATTTGGCAAATGATGTGGTGTTTATAATTTTTCTCACTTCGCTGCCTTTGCTTGCTAAAATGGCTTTTCTTCTTCGAACCCGACAACGCTCTTCCATTTAAACGAACTGACTATGAAGAACAAATTTAAAGAATTCAACTGGCAACGAGAGGCCCAACAACAGCAACAAAAACAACAAGACCATCACAAAATTAAATGAACAATACAAAATTATTGAACTGAACGTCATCATATCGTCGGACAATTGATTTGGACTTTGTGTTTTAACCAAATAGAGGAGCCCATTCCCATGCCCATTTCCCATCATGGCTGTGGGCTCATGGGTCAGGCGATGCTGTTGCTGGCGATGGTGACGGCGGCAGCGGCAGCGGCAGAGAGCGGCGGCGGCGTATTTCCCACGACGTCGTGTGTCCCGCGTCCGCATATATATAGAAGTCACTGTCACTGCACCCCCCCGATATAAGGGGCTGCAAATTATATTATAGTATACCTGACAAACTGCTGCGTATCCTTGTAGCGTGAACGGAATGGGTTGTTGCGCAAGACCAGCTCGACAATCGGCAAGTTCCGAAAGACCAATAGATGTGTCAGGGAATGGATCTGAAAAAAAGAGTTAAGGACTCACTGAATTACAAACACTGACCTAATGCTCATGATCGTATTGGTTTTGCTTCTAATATTTTGGTTTGGATTTCGTCTTATCTTAAAAATAGGACCCAGAGAGTATTGCTCAGATCGGATATCTCTCAACCTGTTCGTGTTACTTCGGGTGTACCTCAAGGTAGTCATCTTGGCCCATTGTTATTCACTCTTATCATAAATGACCTTCCTTCTATTCTGTCATATCCTCACATACTGATTTATGCTGATGATGTGAAGCTCATCCTATCATATAACGATCCACTTTTCCACAATCGTTTGCAGGATGATCTGAACTGCATGCAGAAATGGTGCTTGGTTAACCACCTGCACCTTAACTGCTCTAAATGAATGTCCTAATTTATGTCCTTTTGTCGTTCCACACCTTATCTTGTCACCTATACGATTGACAATGAATTATTGCAACGTATATCTACTGTCGAAGAGCTTGGAGTTCTGTGTGATTCAAAATTGAACTTCAGAGTCTTTATATTTCTTATATCATAAACAAGGATAAGGGCGTTCTTGGATTCATTAAACGTTGGTCCAAAGAATTTGATGATCCCTATACCACTAAACTACTGTTGACGCCTCTGACCACACTTGGTATTGCAATTTGATTAGATTAGATAAGAAGGAGTTCTTAGGCTTTTCTGGTTTATAGGATGCTTTTTATAATTTTTATATATTTTCCTCCTATGTCGACAGTCAATGTTTGTTGACATAAATAAGTAAATAAATAAATGATCAGTATAAGCTCCGCATTGCTTTCATAACAAAATATAAAATATATATAAAAGAGAGAAGCAATTCAAACTAAATATTTTGAATAGCGCTTTAAAACAAACTATATTGAATTTACAAACAGAGCTTACGGGAAATCGTTGCATTCTACAAGTATTCTCGTTAAATTGTCGTAATGGTGATACTTGTATAACTATAAATTCGAAATATGTTATTTAGCTTACCTTATTGTCGCCCAAATAGAGAATCTTCAGACTCGGCAAGCGTTTCTCTATGCCCTTGAATGTGTGGACGGTGGCCAAGCAGTTGTCATTCAAATTGATGGCCTCCAGATCGGGTATATTCTCATATACAATTTCCAATGCGACTATCATCACATTGGCTCGAAACAGAGGGCAAAAGGTTTCCTTAAGATCGGGATCGGCATGGAAGCGTGACAGATCCAAGGCCTTCGTTTGTGCATTATAGCGCTTTGCCATAACCACCTTCATGCGCTCCTTGAATGCATCGTCGATATTCACATGCGGTATACCGCTACAGACGCGTGGCATTAGCCGAAATCCGTCCGAGAGCTGGGCATGTCGTCCCAGCTGCTGTATTCGCTCAGCCAGCTCAAAGTCGTCCGTATAGAAGATGACATTGTTGCGCTCCTCGCGCCAATATTGCGGTATGAAAACATGTGGTGACATCGCAGCGAGCAGGGCCCGCAATATTTTCTCCTTCTCATAGGTCTGGCCATTATGTATCTGCAGAAATATGCAAAAAGAATGGATGAATTCAATAAATAATATACTTCACTTAACTAAGATAACTCTCATTAATTATAGTGCAAAATCTATTCGTTTCAAATAAACCCCAACTAGATTAATATTAAATAAACTTAAATATTAATAAACTATGGTTTTTTTTCAGATCAACGATCGATTGAAAGTTTGCCACATCTTGGTATATCAACTGATTACTCGATATTCCACAATGTGCTACAGTTAACTAAAGAAAGTCTAGCTAAGTGTTGGAGTATAATCTGATTCAGAAGAAAGTCTTCTTTCGCATGACACCAACAAACAAATCACGACTTTGTGGATAGGGTTTTTTCAGATCAAAGTATAAATCAACGATCGATTTAAAGTTTGCCACAGCTCGGTTTATCAATTGATTATTTCATTTCAATCTTCAATAAGTAATTCAATTAAATTCAATAAAGAATTCAATTTACCGATTTAGTCAACACTTTCCAATTTAAAAGTTTACTTCATTATATTCATTTTAGCTTTGTTTATCCACCAATATATTCCACATTACAATACAATATCTACTGATATATAGTTATTAAATTAATGCTGATTTTAAAAGATTTAAAAACTACACCCACTGTTGTTTTAGAAAGCTTTAATTTACTCGTTTTCAGAAGTATGCATTATTAGTTTCTTAAGTTTCTTATTCATTATGCCTACCTCGATAAGACACAAATACTCAGACTCTATAATGATACCAACATCTACACTCCATTTAAGTAGAACTTTTAAAGCCTACATGGTTATTCATATTTGTTAATTATGTTCTTAACTTTAAACTATATATTTTATTTTATATACATATGTACTTATAAATATATAGTCTATTGTTTTTTTATGCGCGCCCCATACTAACCCATCGTCATTATAATAATAAGAACTCCACTTATTTACATTCTATAGCATTTATTAAGGCTTCCCCCTTTATTGTTTTTGAAAGCGAAATTATTTACCATTAAGTCTTTAAACACAATTTTGCCCCACTTGCGAGTCGAGTTGCCCTCAATCCTTTCACTCAAGTTCCAGCGTTTTATGTCCAATACAGTATGCAATGAGATAATAACTCTCCCTCCTCATCTGCCTCCACGAAATACAAGTCTATATCACCCACCATTGTGGGCATAATTATATTCGAACCATCCCAGAGTTAGGTCACGCCCAAATTACGTGCGAAACATGGGCGCGTTTATTAGTCGTCTGTTCTACTTTTTACTTAAGCACTTTTTTCAACTTTATTTATTTTTTACGCTCGTATCGTTTGTTACGTTACTATTATTATTATTATTATTTATTCGTCTTCTGTCGCCCCATTTAGCGTGACAAATTACGTGCCGCAACAATAACAACAAGAACAGCAAGAAGAATCGCACACAAAATATTTCACTTGTTCCACAAATCCATACAAAATACAATTCTTCTGAATGCTGCTCATTTAAATCTGCGGGTTTTCGTCACGGCAGAACAACGCTTGTCGGTCTTTGTCTTTCAATTATTGGTGCGCTTATCTCTGTGTGTGACTGTATGATTTAATTACGACAATTTTGATAGCAGAAGTACTTCATACACTGGAAATATAATCAAATCACCTATCAGCCACACTCAACACAAACACACACTTTGGAATTTCCTCCTCTAGAAGTGCACACCATATGCGAAGTCTCTAGGGTCTTCAAATTGAGATAGTCATTGATCAAACACTCTGTATCTTTCAATTCTTTTCATGGTGCTGAAGAATTGAAGAACTTACACGCACCCACCCATCTATCTAACCCGACAGAACACATAACCCACATTCGCCCGCCCATGTTTGATCGTCTGCTTCGTTAATTACTGTAGATAGATAACCTAATTCACTTTTTTTTTGCGATAAATTATTATTTTATTGTTATGGGTATTAGTTTTTGTTTACTATTTAATATCAGGGAACGATATCTAAGCCCACCCACTCCACCATATGACAACAAATACCCGATGAAGCTGCTAATGTGGCCGGAATTTCCGCAAACAATCATCCCCAGGCCTGTAACAAAGATAACAATAGAACCTTATTTTTTCACTCTTTGTATACCCTTCAGTGCAGTGTGTTGTAAGTGTATATTGCTTTTGGTGTGAAATATGTTGAAAAAAAAGTTAAACCAAATTATGATTTGAGTATTAAAAATTATGAAAAGAAAACTCCACAAGATCGTTATTACTCGACCAGCGGTGAATGAATAATTGTATACTCATGCTCTATAGCTATAAAGATAATGTAAACTGATTCACTCTTTTGTTTTGCAAAGCAAATTTACCCAAAATTATCTACAAATGTATTCAACTTAAATTTAACAATTAATTGAATCATTGTACACTCACTCTCTAGAGGTATAAGAATGATTCACTGCGCCGTTTTGCAAGCGAATTTATTAAAAACTAATACAACCTTTTACCCTTTGGGTACAGGTTATATTTATTAAGAAATCACTTATATTCTTTAACATTTAAACGATAAATAGACTCCGATACTCGTCTAATCAGATTATGCATTAAGTCTGAAGATAATTATTGTTTAAATCAGCCACAAACATTTATTATGGCGTTTGCATTCATTTGCATGCACTTCTCTGAGCGATCGTAACAAAAACAATTCAGTCGTTGATCGATGCCGATGCCGATACCGACTGCGATGACGTCGATGGCAACGACGATTGACACACCCTTCGCTTGGCATGTGTGCGCAGTTAGCAGAGTAATCGGAATGTGGGGCAGTTAATGAAAGCAAAAACCCAAAAGTCGGCGCTCGGCCGGGAGCGGGATGTGGATACACGTACATCCATCCATGCGTACATGGAGAGGCCTAAGTTCGTAAGTACCCGTGCGAGGCGGGTTCGAGACATTCGCACAGTTTTCAAGCAAATTATTTAATATAATAAAAATACTGTTTTAATGATAATATTTTGGGATCAAACTCTAATCCGTCACGCTGATTCAAAATGTATATTGTTTCTGATAAAAAGATATTATAATAATGCAATAGTATTGTAAAAAAAAAAAAAAGGAACAGTTGAAAGACCTTTTCTGGTGCAGCAATGTTATGGAGCTGCCCTCGGGTGGCATTTTATTGGTATAAGTATGAATTGAATATTATACACAATGCGCTCTGGAGACATATTTCTGGGATTGATATGAGCGATGAAAACGACGCAAGTCTGCCGATGGCAGTTGCTGTTGACGTTGGCGTCGGCGTTGACGTTAACGCTGGCGTCAATGCGTCGACAGCGCTGTGAACTGTGTTTGGCCAACAAGCGCATGCCGGCAAATGTTGCGCGCCATTCGTTGACGGTCGCGTGAAGTAAAAACAACAAACACAAACGAACAACCCGAACCCCCAGCAAAAACCCCAAAATAGGCGAAACTCCTTGCTGCACCTACACACACCTACACACACACAGAAGTCGCCACTGAACCTTAATTTCCCAACACAGAACAAAAAAAAATAGCTTGAAATGGGTTGCTGCTGTTCTAAGGATTTGGATGATAAGCGCTCCTGGAGTCCGGATGAGGCGAAAAACGGCGTAAGTTTCCATTGTCAATTTATCGGAATTGGCTGTGAAATTAATTATTAGAGAGAGTTTCCTTATCTCTTACTATACAAATACATACATGTATACGAGCGCTTATATATAATTTTTTTTTTTAATTTGTCAGAGCACAACATCTACGATTATTGCGCAGCCCATGGACAATGAGGTGGGCGGAACGGGCGTGTTTACTTTAACTCGTACAACAACACAGGAGCAACAACAACAGACTAAAGTCGTTACAACAACAACAAATAACGACAATGCTGCCAACGAGCAGAACAACGAGTGAAGTGTTTGTTTTTTTGTTTTTGTTTTGAATATCTACCATAAAATACACATGCATGCATATACACATACATACATACTCGTGTATGTATAGATATACATATATGTATGTATATAAATATATATATAACTTTTTTTTTCTACATATGTACATAACTTTTTAAAACATGTGTGCTTGCCTTTCAAGAAGAAGATGAAGAAGAGAAACAGCAATGTATGTGCATCAGTGAGTGTGCGTGTGTGTGTGTGTGTGTGTGTGTGTGTGTGTCTGTGTGTGGGTGAATGCGAGTGTATGTGTGTGCGTGCGTGTTTACATTTTATTGAACAAGAAGAAAACAAATTAAACAAGAAGCTGTTGTTTATGTATAAAGCCAGTTACTAATAAATTGTTGAACCTTGCAAACGAAACGAAAACGCAACATGGCTTTTAAAAGCGGGTGGTGGGTGGGAGGTAGCGGAGTAGGTGCGGCCAACAAGCTGCTGAGTGCGTTTGCATTGTGCAGTTGACAAGCAATGCAAATAACAACAACTACAACAACAATAGAATCAACAAAATGTGACAACAGAAGCCCGTTTGACAGAAATAAAATAAAGTCCACTGTGCAGTGTGGGAACTGGGCGCCCAACCGACCGACCGACCCACCGACCATGATAAGAGAGTGCCGAGCTACACACACATGCACGCACACACACACACACACACACTCAAGCACTGCCACAGTCGCATTGCTTGCCGATGACATCAGAGCACAAACAATAAGAAGAACAATAACAGCGAGCTAAGAAGTTAACTTTGTCGGCGCCGAAACGGTGTATGCTTTACAAAAACATTGTTTCCTATAACTACGAGTACAGTTGTATGTCCTCGTCACATCGGACAATTTGAGCTCAGCTATAACTACCGAGACATAGAAATAAGTTGAACGTTAAAGTCGTGTGAGCCACCTTTTTTTCCCCCATACAACCCAAATAAACTTTGTGATACCAATGGTTCCTATGGCAGCTAAATATATGATATAGTCAACAGATTTTTATAAAAACTTCACAGTATGGTGTCTCACACTATAAATAACGCATACAATTCAAATTTGATTACGATACGGTCTGTAATAAACTTCATCTGCGTATAGATAACACAAGTCTACATACCAAGTTCGGTGATCCTAGCTGTTATGGTTCAATAGTTTTTGGTGTTCATACGGACGAACGAATAGGCAGACGGACGAACAGAAGGACGGATCTATTTCTATATCGACTCATCTAAGCATCAGATCTTATCAGATAGCAGCTTCTTGGATATTTTTGCTCAAACATTAATTAATTAATTAAATAATTAATCTTTAAACTTCCGTACAGTTTTGGAATAATTATTCGAAGTATCAAACTGATTCTTGCTTAGAATTCTTTACATGTTCCTTTTAAGAGTTTCGTACTCTTCACATAACCCATAAATTATATTATATGGGTATTTATAAATTGTATGGTAATAGATAATTAATTATAATTACCCGACTTCGCAATGTATATAAATAATCATGAGCAGCATGATAAAAACAATAAATCTAGTCAGGGTCAGTCGTCCGTCTGTCTGTATGAACTCCAAAATTTCAACAACGGCTATGTCCAAACTTGACCAAACTTTGTATGTAGACTCTGCTTATATTTATGCAACACGGGGTTATTTAATTATTTTTTTTCTATCAATGCATTAGCGCTTTTAAACTGTGGAAGGAGAGAAGGAGATATACCTCTACATGGTAATAGTCTATAATAATTCTTTATGAGTGTTGCAAACTCACACACCAAAAGCAATACAACTTTCAATGAAGGGTATAACAAGAACAGCCAATGCAATCACGGGAGCTCTAATCAGGGGAGAAAGAGAGTGAGAGTGTGATTGAGAGTGAAAGCATTGCCATTGCCGCCTGGCAAGCTCAAAAGATCGCACACAACAGGAAGCGCCAATTGGGTTTATTCAGACACGCATATGTATATATGTATTTGATTTGGAGTTAACTTACTCATAAATATGTACCTGTGTGCGTGTGTGTTTATGGACTTGTGGGTGGTTGAGTGAGTCACCTTTTCAGCAAAGAAAGAAAAACAACAATTTTTTGGCGCATGACTTACCGTAACGATCACATCATTATTCTGACTAAGGCAGCAATATTTGCTAGATGATCCAGATGGGAGAAGTGCCCTTTCATATACATATATAGTATGTATGTATGTACATAAATATATATAGATTTTTTTTTTTTTTTTTGATTCGAAATGTGTGCAGGTGGTACGAGTATGGGTTTGTATGTGAAACGAAAACTGACGCTTTTTTTTTGAGAAATTCTTAACGAGAATGGAATGCTAGCGACGTTTAGAACCGACTCTTAGAACTGTTAAATTTTATAAATTTAAATAAATTGAATGCAAATAATATTTAGAACCTACTGATTAAACGTTTTACGATCAAATATTTTCAAATGTTGAGAAGAGATTAAAAGAAGATCTACCATTCCCAATGAAAAAATGAAATTGTTCTCGAATTCAAAATTTTAGTATGTATTTGAAGTGGGCTTTAAAACAATAGTTTATCCTCAGCCCAAAAGATAAGACCGAGGAAGCTAAAATGTGATCACGTTTTAATGCATAGTAAGGTTTTGGAAATAATGCAAGACCCAAAGGGTTCCTCAGACTTTGGAGAGCCTAGACGAGTATCTTCATTTTGTTTTATTATCTTCATTTCATAAGTATGGCGACTTAGCTCGAAACGCCTTTTCCCCCTTTCCAATGTTTAATAGCTCGATATCCCATTTATAGTGCGAAATCTCGAGCTAATTAATGAAGGAAACGCCACATCCATGAATCAATATGCATTTATATTTAATATTAAAAACAAATCAATAACTACGATTGTGCATTTTTTTTTTTTTCAAAATTCCGCTCTAATTTAAAGTGCTTACGAAATCTTTGAAAATATAAATATATCAGTTAGAATCTAGGCAGTAAAAAGCCTAATTACCACATTTAGTGAAAATGGACGAATACGGGTTTATCGACACGACTCATTATTCATATCTAGAATATTTATTGTATGGGGATTACCACTCGTTTGTGTGTCACATACACCTGACAGTTTCCATAACAATAAAAAGCGTTTGTAGTCATTTTAAACTATTGAGTAATACATTTTAATGTATTATTCAACGCAGTTTGCAAAACCGTCTGAACGCTTGCATATGGATAAGAAAGCCTTCAAGAAGGGCCAAGGGATTCAAGGAACTCCTTTATAGTGTTGTGAAGGATGATCAAAATGGAGTTGAAGTAGAAAAATTATATTCTTTTCTAAAACAGAATTATTGAATGCATTCAATATGTACATTTTTGTTTATCTACTTTATAAACTGACTTGTGTCTAGTTTCAATTAATACTACTACTTTATTTAATTTAGATTTTACAAAATCTGTCTCTCTTAGAAAGCAAAACAAATCAAACATTAGGAATGCAATTTTGACTTCATTTCATTTTGTGGATTTTATTCGTAGCCATAGCTCTTGATTATTAAAATCGAAGCGCAAAAGTATGCTACAAAAAGCTTTGTTCTTTTGCGTTTTGTAGAGCGGCTCTCCGGCGTTAGTGGAGACACGAACAGATTTTTGGTTGCACTTCGATGGAAATAACGTCACATATTTGAAAATAAGCAACAAAAAAAAGAAGAAAAAATGCTTGTTATTAAGATTCGTGAATTGGAGGCCAAGTGGTCGTGTCTATTATTGTTGTCCACACGTCACACTACTCTTCTGACTACCAAGAAATTATGAATTGTAATAAAAACCAAAACGAAAATAACTGTAATATTAGATAAGATTGCAAGGCCGATTGTTTTGGAGATTAGGTAAGAACAGGGCGACTCATGTGATGCCAAAAAAACACAAGATATGGACTCTCGGGTGTGTGTGGAATTGAATGCAAATAACAACATAAAAAAGAACTGCGACAACAGCGACAACAGAACCAGAACAATAGCAAAGGGGAAGGATAAGAAGAAGCATAAAATGAATATGCAAAACAATTAAAGAAAATGCAAATGCATGGCATGGAGGGCATAAGAACGACCGGCTGTTTGGATTTCTGGAACTGCAGATAAAAACAATTTCAAATCAAATTGAATGAAAAGAGCGACAAGCAGCGCAAATGAAAACAACAACAATAACAAGAGCAGTACGTTCCATCATTGAAAGCAAAAGCTAACTAAAAACAACAACAAAATTGTAGCGCGCACCCGAAGCAAACGCAGGGTACCCCACACCCCAGCCCCACCCCCAACCCACTCCCTCGCCGGCAGACAAGCCATGTGTGTGGTGTCCACGATCGTTTAGCTGACGCTTCAGTGTAGACCCAGCCCGCGCCAGTCGTCCAACGCGTCTGCACCGGAGAACAACGGAAAGCGAATAACCAAGGAGTATTACGAAGATCATAATATTAATTATAATTAAAATGGATAGCCGCTTTAAAACTATGATTATTTGGCTGGCGCTTCTGCACACCACCCTAGCCATGACCAATGATCAGCTGCTCTCACTGGAATCCGTAGATCAGTCGCCCGCAGGATCGGAGCAGCTGCCATTCGAGTCGCCGCACATCGCAAAAATAGCACCCAAGACCGCCGCAGAAGAGGAGGAAGCTGGAGGTGGAGAGGGAGAACGAGTCGTCGATATACAGACTTTTGTGCAGGAACTAAGGAGTGCCGGTGTACAGACGGCTGAACGGAGAGATCTGGAAACGCTCGGCTACCGGGAACTAACACGTCTATTGGGCCTCTTGCATCTGACCCAAGAACGCAGTTACTATACGGCAGGGGAGCGAAGCAGAGCAGCTAAGGCCGATAAGGCCGAACAATAGCCACACACACACACTCATACGCCCTATGTAGAGACCGGACAACAACAACAACAACAGTAATGGCACTTAATGAATCGGCCAAATATATTTGATAAGAGGGCGATGGCGGATCAACGCCATTAACATTTCTGGGGGGCGGTAACCCTTTGAATGCGTCATACCCAGATATTTGGAACCTGCAAATGAGACTCTTGCAGATCTATTTTCGTTTCATCTTCCACTATGTCTGCACGCATACATAAATATATACATATGTGTGTGTATCTATATAATCTGTGCGTGTGTGCATATAAATATCTTATCTTTAGCAGCGCCAGATAGTTCCTACATTAATGTTATGCCAATTAAAGACATAAAAGCTGTTGCGAAACCTACAACATGACTGGGCAAGTAAAGTAAGTTCGAATAATATCGTGTTTTTTTCCATTAGTTGCTTCCTGAGAATGTTTATATATCGTATTGGAATTGACGTATAAATTTCCATAATTGTATGTCTGGCGTGATATACTTGTACTAGTGTTTTTAATGGACTTTATGTAAATTGTTTAATTAACAATTCAAATACTCTATATCTTTATATTTTTTTTTTATTATATATGTGTATATATCTATAGATTTCAAATAAATAAATCAGCCATAAATATGTGTGTTTATAAACATAGAAATGGTTTCAATTGAAATAAAACACATAGAGATAAATGAAATAATTCCATTTCCTTTTTTTCTCTGTGGTTCTTTTATGGAGGTCAAAATTTGCATTAATTCCTTAGGCGCGAAGATGTTGGTTTCAAAAGATACAGTTGAGGCGGTCTTGTTAAGTACTTATCTTCAGATGAAGAAGTACCAACGATCTTAATTAACATTTTTTATAAGGCTTAGTAGAATCAAAAGAAAATATTAAAAAGTTCGTGAAGTCAAGAGATTTGAAGAGTCAATGTAGGCTCGTTTCCGAGATCCAAGCGTTCATTCAGACGGACAAAACAGATGGATATGGCTATAAAGATTTGTCTTATCAAACATACATATATATTTTAAGGGGTCGGAGGTTCTTCGTTCGGTTTCAGGGACAATAAACTCGTGTTACTGAGAGAGTGCGCACACCAAGTGTGGTTAATGGGGGCTTAGCCGTTTCTGAAATCCGAGTATTCATACAGGCAGACGCACATATATACTATATATAAACATCATATATACTATATATAACGTATATCCTATATTTTTGGCCCAGTTTTCGAACAATATGATAATGAGTGGCGTAGCGAGCGCTTTTTGGTTTCGATCTTGCCTGTAGAAACTATTATATGCACATTTATTAAGTAAAAACTGATTATAATGCGGCCTATTTATATAAATCAGTTTGAAGGCTGGATAACTACGTTACATCATTGTGGGACTTGGTGCGTTGTTGGTCTGGTTCCTGTTCCTGTTCTATTACTGATACATCAATGCCACCGTTCTCGGAGCTGGTGCTGGTGACCACCAGTTGTGGCATTTGACGTCGTCGTAGGCGATTCGCAATGGGCGGCACAAAGAGATCGTGCTTGATAAGCGTACATTGGGCATCGTGGTAGATGCGTCTGTTGTCATCCCACTTGAGCCACGTACAGCAGTACGAGAAGAGCCAGCCGCACAGAAAGGAGATGAGGAAGCCCAGAACTGCGTACCACATATAGCTAATGCGATATAAATAAAAGTATTGTTCGGATTCGGGTTCTGCTTTTGAATTGTTGTCGCTAGTCCTCCGTAAGATGTCTATGAGGTAGCTGCGATCGACGGGACAACCAGATGTAGACATGTCCAAACTGGGTATGGGCGGCTTGGGCTGTCCGAAGCCAATCCAAAAGGAAAACACCAGCGATACCAGCATGCCAGCAACAGCGCCCTTTTCGTTTGCCGACGTCACGTACATGCCCAGCGTAAAGAGTCCCAAAAGCGGGCCGCCAACAATGCCGAAGATGGAGAGCGCTGCTTGCAACAGACCGCCAATGGAGCCAGCCAGGAAGGCTAGGCCAACGCAAATTGCGCCATAGAAAATGGACAACAGCTTGGAGTACCACAGCGTCTGGCGATCACTAAGTTGGCGACCAGCGGCGCAGCCCACCAACGGTTTCAGATAGTCCTCCAGGGTGACGGCGGCCAGAGAGCTGATGGCTGAAGAAATTGTCGAGAGGCTGGCGCAGAAAATGCCCGATACAAAGAGTCCCGACAAGCCCGCATATTCGCCCATTGTATCGACGACAAACAGCGGCATCACCTGGTCCCGCGAGGACACGCGACCCCCTAGCACGGGATCGCAATCGCGATAATACCAATAAATGCACAGACCGGACAAGCAAGTGCTTATACTGAGCAGACACAGGATGGGCAGACACCACCAAAGGGCGACCTGTGCCTCGCGTAGACTTCTAACGGAGAGCAAACGTTGGACCTGCGTCTGGTTCACGCCATAGATAGACAAGTAGGTGGCAAGACCTCCAATAATTTGGGTAAACCAAGTATGTCTAACCGTTGGATCCACACGAAAATCACTGAAATTGATGCGACCGTGTGCTTGCGCAGTTTCCCAAATGGTGTCCAAGCCATGAGCCTTGATGGCCGCACAGATGATTACACTGAAGACGGCTACAAACATGAGCACCGATTGATATATATCCGTTACCAGAACTGCTTTCATGCCACCCAACGTAGAGTAGAAGGTACAGACCACGCCGACTATGATAATGGAGAAGATCTGATTGAGTCCCGTTACTGCCTCCAGCGCTAAGGCGGGCGCATACACCACAATTCCCATATAGAGTGTCATTTGTAGTGTAAAGGCTATCGATGCTGCAAGGCGCGCCACATAGCCGAAACGTAACTCCAAATATTCATAAACACTGGCTGTCTTTAGGCGATAAAAGACCGGCAATATAAGATAGGCGGCAATTGGTGTGCCCACAATATAAGATATATTAATGATCACAAACATGGTGCCATACTGATAGTTCTCCATGGAGACGCCCAGAATAGTGACGGCAGACATAAAGCTGGCCATTAAACTGAAAGCCACAGGAGTTACACTCATAGAACGGCCGGCCAATAAATATTCTCGGGTCGTACTTTGTTTGCTGCCCGCGAAGCGATAATAGATGCCTATCAGTATAGAGATGATGAGCACTACGGCCAGTATGGTGTAATCCCACGCGCCCAGAGAGGCCATTTTGTTCTCGGTCCTTCTGATTCAGTTTTGGGGTATGCCAGACGACGTGTTTAATCGACAACTAATCTCTACAAAAAGAGTAAATATAACCTCACAGACCGATAACTGATAAGCGCGATAAGCCACAACAATTGGCCCAGTCCGTACCGATTTTGCCCGTTGGCTCTCGAGATTCTGCCTTTGATTCCTAAAGCCGATTGCACGGGCGTCTTCAACGTTTGCCGGCCGTCAATGAAATGCCAACAATATAGCATAGCAAATATTTTAACCTAAAGCGATTTAATTGCTCGGTACCCGGCATAAGACAGCACAGCAGAGAGCGGGAATGGGAAAGGGGAGTGGGAGGGATGAAAAGATAAAGCCATAACAACACTTGGCCACATGCTGGCCAGCTTAGTCACAGTTGTGATGCCGCCAAGAGCAGGAATGAGCGAAAAAAAACGATGATTTTCGATACCCTTTAAGCAATTTGATAAATGGCATATATTTTTGTTTGGAAAAATATATTCACAAATATGCCTTTAGGGACTATTTCTATCAACTAACTATAAAGAGGATGTGAAAATATTACGCAAAAAAGGAATAAAGGAAATAAAATGATGTTCGAGAAACCTGAGATATATTTACAAAATGTTCCTATATTCCAAAATACCTATTCTTTCAATTTGATATTATAACTACAGGAACTTGATATTTCCATTATTATATTTGTCAATTATATTAATCTATGATAATTTGGATGAGACAGTTGTTGATTTCAGCACGTTAGGAGGAGACTTACTATATAGAAGACATGGTAATATTGCTCCAAAAACATTAAAGAGTAGGGCACACAATTATATAAACTACCCTCTCAAAAATCTGATAAAATATGGAGAACTAAAAAAATGCATATGTTTCGGGAACCCTTTTTTTAATTTCTTCCAAATAATGTGCTTCACCATTTATTAACTATGATGATCAACGGGATTTTAAATACGTCATTAACTACAGTTTTCAAGCATAGGATCATGTAGCAAATGCGCAAACTATAGCAGACACAAACTATATAATACACCTGAGAACAATACCCGAATAACATTAACAAGGTTAAACATATGAACTTCGGCGTGTTGGCGATAGCGCAAGTTTTTTCCGAGTTGTTTGTTTTCCGAACTTTACGATTGCGAATTAATTAATAAACACAACGCCGGGATGCCGACACCATCCAACCAGTCCGCACATGGGACGTAATCATGAAACCTGTTATTATATTTGTATTTGCTTTTAGGCAGAAAATAAGACTGTCTGTAGATTTTGTATAGATGTGCCATATACGAATGTAAGTATAGTCGTAAGTGCGTGCGTTGGAAAAGTAACCAAATAGCGGTACTTGTGTATGAATTAAAATAGACACTAATTATATCAAAATACCAGAATGAACAAGCTGGTACAGTCAATCTGGCTGCTGTTGATAATTGAAGTAGAGGACTTACCGTCACTTGATACCATCCATAAACATTGGGCACTAGCTTGCCAAATTTACCACGCGGTATCGGTGAGCCTCGACGGCGTGAACTTTGTCGACCCTAGCAATTGAAATAGTAGCATTTTTTTAGGTGTGTTAAATGTGTAGCCACTAGCCACTTACCTTCAGTGGATTTGTGATATCACCCATGTCATCGTCATCATCCCAACGATGCACTGCATCTAAGCCAATGCGTATATTACCGTCACCCTGTTTGGACGGCTTGAAGCTGACACGTCGCTTGTTGCGATCCTTGCGGCGCAGGTGATCTTCCACTTCTGCAAAATGCACAACGTGCGTATTTAGAAATATACGTATTGAGCAAAAAAAAGCCATTACTAACCATCAAAGTCTTTGGCCAGCGAGGAATAGCGAGATCCGAGGCCACCATTATTACCATTGCCAGTGCCACCATTATAACGAGAACCACCGCTACCGCCTCCGCGCTTCGGCATGGTTCTCGTTGGTAAATTAAGTGAAAAAAAAAACTTAACTAAAAACTAGGCAGCTATAAATTGTGTGACTCAATACACGCGAGCGCCAGTCGCAAATGTTGTGTATTTGTTGTTATTTTTGTTGTGGCGAAATTCGCATATAATTTGTGTAATATATGCGCAGCCTGTGGGCAGAAATTATAGCACTGAAACACGTTTCAAAGTATAGATAATACAGCAAATGTGATTGCAGATCGTATTTAATGTTTTTTAAGGCTATCGTCTTCTTAATATTATGCGTTTACACCAAAAATCACAAAATTTTTACAATCCTTTCCCCACGTTTGACACCCAAAGCAAGTAATGCAACGTTCAGTCTAGTGATGTAAATTACCATCGATGTATCGGTCAACATCGATGAATTCCGATGTGTTGTAAAGACTTGCTGTATATTATATCTCTTTTTGTTTTGCAGAATATAAAGGTATTCTATTTGTAAAAGTAAAGACAAAAGTAGTCAACTTACATTTAAAAAAAATGGGATGCCTTAGTGATACAAGAGTAGACAAATAATTGGTGCTTTATAACAAATGCATATGTGTAATTTCAAAATATTTATAAATTCGACCTCAATATCAAAGTTTCCACCCAATGTAATTCATTTGCTTTATTCGCCATTTTTAATTATAAACCAAAGGAAATAAATAAATATTGCTCTTATTTTGATATATAATGCCCCAAACACATGTTATGGTATATATATATATATTGTATATATAAATGTTCTCAGTTCGACTTACATCACTAGTTCAGTGCGCAATAACGAGCCAATCAATTTTGCTGCACTACTTGAAGTGCAACATTTCGAACTGTACGGCAACCCTAGTACTAATGCGAACTAAATAACAAAACGAAATAGAGCTTAAATTAAGTTTGAGAATTAATAAGGGACAGAACTCCACTGATCGCCGGCAACAACAGGTTGCCCTTCCGGTAATTTTCTTTCCATTTTGTTAAGATGACTTCGCAGAAGGTACGGACATTTGTGCTAGAAACAGAGGAACAATTGGCGCAAAAACTTGGCTTAGAACTGGTCCGTTGCGAAAAGCAAGCATTAACAAAAGGTCGTTCATTTCGCATAGGTCTATCAGGTAAGTGCATATTTATTGGTGTACGTATTATGCACGTGTGTCACAACTTGAGCTTAAGGTGACCTTCTCAAGGTGCAAACTCGGAAACATATACATACATACATACTATGTGTATATTTTCAATGTAAGGTGTATGAATGATTTATTATTGTATTTTTTGTTTTGTTTTTGTTTTGCGATGAATTATATAGGCGGCTCTCTAGTTCAACTTCTAACCAAAGCCATAACATCCACTCCTCAGCTAGACACAGCTCGTTGGGTGTTTTTCTTTTGCGATGAGCGTTATGTGCCAAATGATCACAGTGACTCTACTTTCTTTGCCTACAAAACCCACTTGTTGACCCAAATACCTACTATTTTGGAGAAGCAGTTCATCAAAGCTGATACTACTAAGCCTTTGGATGAGTGTGCCGCTGACTATGAATCCCGATTAAGAGCCGAGTTTAGCGATAACACTCTCCCCCAATTCGATTTGCTGTTACTAGGTATTGGACCAGATGGACACACGTGTTCATTGTTCCCAGACCAACCGGTTGCACTCGCTGAGGTCAAGCGTTTGGTTATACCAATTCGAAATTCACCTAAGCCGCCGCCAGAACGCATCACATTCACATTTCCTCTTATCAACAATGCCACTGATACCATTTTCGCCCTAATGGGTGCCGGAAAGGCAGACATTGTAAAAGTAAGCAGCGGGTAGTGTTTTTTATTAATATTTATTTTTAATTAAAATCTGTGCGTTACAGCGCGCATTTGTCGAGTCAGATGAACAACTACCTGCAGCATTGGTGCGGCCCACAAAAGGACAATTGACATTGATCATGGACAACGGTGCCGGTCATATCTTTTTGCCAGCAAAATGACCTAAAATTTGTATATTAATTATATATCGACATATGTGTGTATGTTTGTACATATGTAAATATTTACTGCAGTTAACTATTAAATATGCATCTATATGTACTTTTAAATGCGCGCGTATGTCGTTATACAGCACTTTTGCAGCGCAGCGTTGCCACTGCTTTGTCTGATGACCAACAAAACAACAAAATCTGGCCATACAGGCGAAACACAAGTGAAAATGCGAAGAAAAAATACATATAACTGCAATTGAGTTTTGACAACCACCAGTTAAAAACCATGAAGAAACATTCATTTTGAGGAACGACGACAATCAAACAGGATCCATCACACACAAAGCGAAATAACAACACAAGTGGCCGAAAAGGCCATGGCCTCGTCGGATAAATTTGATCCAGACCGCGTCTGCCGTGTTTGCCTGTGCGAAGTCGACGAGTTCTACTTCATCTACGATGAGGCTCCCGTGGAGCAGGGTGCCAATGTCGCCCAGATACTGAACGAATGCACGCGATACACTTGCGAGCGGTACGATAAGCTGCCGCATCACATGTGCGGCGGCTGCATCGCTTCAGCCCGTGAGGCCTATCGTTTCAAGGTGCGCGCCGAGGAATCTTATCGCTCGCTGGTATCTATGCTGGGCAGATCGCTGCAGCCCAAGAATAATTGCACAGATGTGAGTTCACAAACTGATCAAGTCGCACTGTTGCCTTGCGAGATGTGCGATAGCAAGTTCCTGAACAGCATCGAGTTGCGTATGCATCGTAATCGCCATCATAGGGAGCAAAGCTCTGTTGCCAACAGTAGCAGCAGCGAGCTTAAATGCAGGGTATGCTCAAATCAGTTTACAACGCTGCGTCAGCTGCGCACTCATTTAGCACAGGAGCATCAACAGGATATCTTTGTACAGCACCTGCAGTGTCGCATTTGCCAGCGCACCTTTTCTCGCCGGGATCACTTGGTGAGACACATGCGAACTGTGCACAGCCTTGATGAGAAGTGCAGGAGACGCAAATTGGAAGCAGCGAGTGCAGTACAGCCAGAGGAGCAGCACACAGCAACGTCTTGGTCACACGCCGGTGGTGCCAATGGGGGGGCGGTTGCATTGAGTGGTGATGAGATGGAGTCGGTACCATTCGTACTTAACGAGGCTGCCTGCGCCGATGAAAACGCTGACGACTACCAATGCAATACGAATCCCATATCCAGCAATGACGAAGATGCCAATGATGATGATGAGGCAAAACAATCTTTGTGGCTACACATAAAGCCAGAGCTATGGCTGAAAGTGGAGGAAGACAACGGTAACGTGGACGAAGGTGAAGGTGTATTAACGTCTCGAATGAAGCGTGAAAAAAAACGTAAAGGGAAAACGAAACAGATGGCTAGTGCCAATGAGGATGTCGTAGGTCTCGAAGGTAATGGCGATAATGAAGGCGCAGAAGCTAAGGAGGAGGGCCGTGCCAACACGGATATGGAAGTAAAAGTGGAGGCGGAACTGGTCAAAGGTAAGTGCTGCTGTCTGAGGTTTACATTCATAAGAAAATTAATTATTTCTTGCAGACGAGCCGACAGATGGATCGAACATTAAACAGGAACGTCAAAGAACCGATAGCGAGCATCTAGAGGACCACATGGAGCGGCACACAAATGTGGCACAATTAACTGTCAGTGATGAGGGTGTCATAGAAGATTCCAGCGATGACGATAGCTTTGACGAACACGAAGAAAATAATGATGATGATGACGAAGAGGATGTAGAAGAAGAAGAAGATGCAGATGCGGAAATGGAACAGTTAGGAAAACCCCCTAAAGTAGAAATTGTGCGCGAATACTTGCAAAAATCCGCAAACAAACAGCGACGCCGGCGTCGCAACAAGGATGAGCCCAATCCCGAAAATCGTTGTAACATTTGCGAGCGCACCTTTTCGCGTCACTGCCATCTGTTGCGCCATAAATTGTCACATCTGGAGAAGAAACCTCATAATTGTCCGCATTGTCCGAAGGCGTTTGCGCGTAGCGACCACCTGAAAGCGCATGTCCAAAGTTTGCACAGCAACAAGGATCACAAGTGTACGCTATGCAATGCTGCCTTTGCTCGCGCCGATGCTCTCGTCCGTCACAAGGTCAGCAAACACAATGGCGAGGGTCTGGACGCCGGCAATGAATTGAAGCTACACACCTGCGAATACTGCGCCAAACGTTTCTCGAGCAAGACCTATCTGCGAAAGCACACATTGCTCCACACGGACTTTCTCTATGCCTGTAAGAGCTGCGACGAGACTTTCAAGGAGCGTCAGCAGTTGCGCGAGCATGAGAAGACGCACACGGGACAACGAAATTTCCTCTGCTGCATTTGTGGCGATAGTTTCGCTCGCAACGACTATTTGCGCGTCCATATGCGGCGTCACAATGGCGAGAAACCCTACAAGTGTCGCTTCTGCGTTAAAGCCTTTCCACGCGCCACCGACCTCAAGGTGCACGAACGGTAAGTGGCTCTTTTAAGTATAGTATCTAAATATAAGATAATCATTTTTTTTTGTGTCTCGCCAGTTATCACACGGGCACCAAACCGAATCTGTGCAATACCTGCGGCAAAAGTTTCCACCGAGCCTACAATCTAACGATCCATATGCGCACCCACACCGGAGAGCGTCCGTATAAGTGCGATCAGTGCCCGAAGAGCTTCACGCAAAGCAATGATCTGAAGGCGCACATACGCCGACACACCGGGGAGCGCTACAAGTGTCCCCATTGCGATGCCTGCTTCCTGCAGCTCTACAATATGCGCAATCATTGCCTGAGCGCGCACAACAAACTGATTGAGACACGCACGGGTCGCTTGCAGCGGACAGGCTTGCTGGATGATGGCAGTCAATCGCATTTAACCACTGTGGTTCTGCCACCAGCGCGCTTTCAGCACCAACCTCAGGATGTGGCTCCCCAAGTAGTGCAAGTACACCGACAACAGCAACAGGAACAGCTGCCAACGACTATGCAGCTACTGCATTCGCCTCTGAGCTATGAGGGCGCAGCAGTAGCAACAACATCCCCACCAGTGGTTATAGCAGCAACAACAACAACGCCGGTATTGGTGGATGGCAACCAGCTAGATGTTACAACGTCCGGAACAAGCACTGCTGCCGCAACAGCCTCCCTAGGCGCCTTTAACTTTATGGGTGAGTAGAGTGCGGAGCAGGGTTCAATTCAGCAGTATGTTATTAGTATGAGATAATCAGAGTAGGGTTAAATATATTATAAATATATATATAATTTTATTATAATTATAAAAGCGTTACATTTGGTCTATTCCAAATATAAACATTATATTTCCCAATAACTGTTTAATGAAATTTAAACATTTACATAGATTGACAATTTTCATGCCATTTACAATAATATCTATCTATTTCTCTCTCCTTCTATCTCACTCTCTCTTACGACGCATCAGCCCACCTGATGTATAATCACAGCGGTGGAAATCAGCAGAGTCAAGCAAGCAATGCGAGCGGCGGAAACGATGCGAGCAAATAGCCGACGGGACCACGAACATCCATATCTGTTGCTCCGAATCGCAAATTCCGGTCTAGGTTAGATATTGTATATAAATAGACTCTAGCTTCTACTGTAGCTAGTGCTTAGTTAAGTCGTATTGGTTTGGAACTTTGTAAAAATTACTGTTCAGTTTGCCTTAACAGCTTGCGTTGTGCAATTTAATTTTAAAATGTATATGTACGTTATATTCGAAGAGCCTAAAACAATCACAAAACAAACTTTTTGCACCTCACCGAAAGCCATCCGATTCAGATGTTAAATTTAACTCTGACCCGGAATAATCAAAAACAAGGAAGAAAACTAGAAGCCGGTTGAGAACTGTTTTTTGTCGCTTCAGTCTCTGAATATTTCTAAGACAGAGTAGAGTATTAAGAATTGTTTCTTCGATTGGTCGGCATTTTTAACGAAAACTAGTGTATTTATAAATTAAAGATATTATGAATTAAATTATATTAAACAAAATATATACATATACGTTTGTTTATTGGACATGTCCGCATTTTCATAAATTCCGTTTTTATTTATGTTTCGAATTAACCATCTAATCATGCAAGCAAGATCCATGTGTAGACGCACATGTTGAAATTATAGGTGTGCCTTAAAAGCGAACCTACTTTTAAAAAAGATTTACATTTTATACTAATTCTTTCTAACAACCCATGCTATATTTGTATTATGTTTTAATTATTTGTAACGGTTTGCTTGCTAACTTTTGTTGCAGTTATTGTATTGAATACTGAAAATGCTCTTTGGTGGCAATTTTAATATACAGAACATCCTGCAGACGCCTATAATGTAAAGAGATCTTTGTAGGAGAGGATAAGTTTCATATAAGTATATGAGAATGTGACAATCTACTGGGGTGATTGCAAAAAAAAAAATTAGAGCTATTTAACAATTTTGCAAATAAGTTTTATGCAACACAAAATTCTCCAAAAGATTTTATATTTAGAATCAACATGATATTACTCATTTTGATAAAACAAAACTGATAAATACAACATTTTCCTACAATATTTTTATAAACGAAAAGGCTTTCCTTCTAAGAATGTTTTTGCCTCCGATAATTGGGAATATATTTGGGTTGTAATATACTTGATCTGCGTATGTATTGCTTTGTCAGTGTTCATACAGACAGATACCTGTTATACATTATTTAGCCTTTTATTCTTCGAGTCCAGCGTACACCAATTGAGCAGTACCCGACTTCTACATACCCTTTATTCAGTTTAAAAATAAAAGAAATAAATCAAAATATTCTTTAATTTTTAATTGCAATTTTACAAAATTTACAAATAACAATAAAATCAAATAGAGCATATAACACCTGGGTGGTTGTGTCCAGCAGTAGGCACTTGAATCATAGTAAGAATAACGATTTTTAATACGAGTATATATGTGTACTAATATACGAGTGTGTCTGATTAATTTGACTTCAATGACGACTTCCATAACTCAATTACGGCTCTCAAACGATAGAAACAAAAACCATCCAATAAAATATAACAAAATACTTTTTTTTATTGGTTTGACATATTGAGTAATTGTTAAGTTATTTATAAAATCTTTTGGATCCGCCAGAGAAAAAACTATAGGTTAGTATATATGTGTAGAAATAAATTTGTTTTTATCGCCTCTAAAATGTTTTCGAACCAAATAAAAAGCCACATACAATTTTGGAGTTTTTGAGCTGCCTAGAAACAAAAACGCCTTTAAGATTTGTATTTAAGTTGCGTCACGTCTTACATCACGCCTAAAGATTAAAGTTACAATAACTAATTATAAAGATTTCCTTTAAGAGGTGTTTTTCCCACACCCATATTCCCCCCACTTAAAAACCGAAGGACGTGTTCGACTGTGTCTAATGCTTAATACTGCACACAAAGCTATGCAAAAAAAAAAGGTAAAACCTGTTAAGTATAAAAAATTAACATTTAACGAAAAGATAGACATGGTTTTCTTACAGGCTAGCTTACACCTAAATTCGATAGCTCTCCGATTAGTATGTAGTGTCTGTAAAAATTAATGTAAAAGGTAAAGTCGAGTGTTTCCAATTTCATAAATTTCTAGGTTGCAGTTAGACATTTTAAGCGTGACGAATGAGTATTGAAAGTCAAAGTCTTTACGTTGAATGAATGTAAAAGGTTTGAAGGTCTGAACATATGCGAGAGCTGTCCTACAGAAAGTGCTGGATCCCTTTGTGGTACCTTATATATGTATAGAATAAACAAAGTGAGCCTTCCTACAAATAATTAGCTTATATTAAGAACTTGGTGTGTGTGTGTCTGTCCGTTTAAAGGATTATGGGTAGCTCTTTTGTGACCAATTTGCGATTGCTGCCGCCCGGCGATGTCGCAGCCAGTGCATTCGAGATTGAACTATTGGCGGGCATGCGACGTGGCTTGGGCAACGTGGCGAGACGTGTCTCCTCATCGGGCACCACCGTCGAGTGATGATTGTTGTAATGCCTTAAGTTCTTCTTGCTGTGATTGTGATTATTGTTATTGTTGAGCTTACGATTGGGCGTGAACTTAACTTGTTGAACGGGACGAACGGGTAGCACCGAGGAACGTGCTGCCGCAGTCTCCACGCATTTCTCGAACCTTTCGTAAGTATCGTTGCGATCTTCCTCGACAGCCGCAGCATCGAAACCGATATTGCCATTATCCTTATTTTCATCGTTGGCAGTGTCGGAGTCATCGGTGGCGAATTCCACGTGAATGCGCGGCATAACAAGCTTGCTAACTGGACGTTTGGTCTTAAGGGGTCTCTTGCTGGCGCTGCTGCTGCCTCCGGCGCTGCGTCTTCCCAAGCCGCCGCTCCGGCGCATAGTGTCGGCTAAGATGCGGACTTTCCTCACGGGGGATTTGCAGGCCTTCTGCTGGTGGGTAGCGACCAGACGCTCGGTGGGATTACGCAGCGAGTTTGTCGAGCCTTTCAAGGAGTTGAGTTTGCTGAGCAAGCTGCGCTTGGCCAGCGGTGTCTGCGATTGCTTCGGTCCTTCTGGAGCCATTGGAAACTTGCGCTTATGCAGATTTCCCGTAGTTTTGGCGCCTACTGCGCTCATGTTCGTGTTTAAATGCGTTTGGGATGGTGTCTTGCGCAGCGACATGGTCGATGAGGACATGGCCGACATATTCTTCAGGGATATGGGCGTGCGTTGAATGGCAGAGCCGGGTGCCGGAGGTGGAAGCATTTTGCCGACAGTGGAAGGAGTAGCATTGCTATTCTGCTTGCGTGCTGAGCTCTGCTGCTCCTTAACCTGACGGCGTTGCTCCCAATCGTTGGCCATGCGTTCCAGAATATTTTCACCATGCACAAGAAATGGGTGATGCTCCCGCTCCACATAAGCATGAACCAGCTCAGTTATTTGCTGCTCTATCTTCGGCAACTTTGCTGTAATGGTCTTACGTTCGCGCTCCTCTTTAAGCAGCTGACCACCGCGATTATTGTAACGATTAGGTTCTTTGGCCTTAGCCTCCAGCGCTTCCATGCGTTCCCAGAGCTCGGCACGGCGCGCAAAGAGCTCAAACAATTCCTTGTTATTGTTGTAATACGTTTTGAGATCGTCCAGCTCAAGTTCGTGCAACTCTAGTAGAACCTCGCTATACCAATTGTTCTTATAATCATAAAAACGATCGCGCTCCTGTTCCGATTTGAGCGTCAAGTCCCACCAGTCCTTAATCTCGACGCGCAGCTGCTCAATATAGGTCTTTAAATTTTGTCGCCGCAGTGCCTGGCAGCGCTTGAGCTCGGTATTAAGGATTTCGTAGGTGGTTCGTGTATAATCGATAGCCTCACGCACCGGGCGCATGACCGATTCATCTGTTTCCTGCAGGCGTTCCCACAACACATGGATCTTGCCACGCATGTCTTCGATGCGAGTGCGCAGCTCTTCCACCTCTTCACCGTAGGTCTTCTTAAGCTTGCGCAGGGCATTGAAGGTATCTGGCGTAAGGTTGTGATTAGGTTGATTAAGGAGGCGTTCCTCCGCATCGGTTTGTGGCAACAATTCCAGCAGCTTCATATCTTGCTTAATTTCATCACGCAACTTATAGAGTTCGTCGGTACGGCTATCGCGCTCTGCTCGCAAACGCTCTAAGTGGTTACGAAACTCATCCATTTCCTCCGCTTTTGGCAGCGGATCGGCCAATAGTGGCAGCGGTGGCTCATCCAATTCATCACACAATACCTCCTGTTGCAGCAGCAGTTCACAGATTTCGGCGCGACGCTCTTGCAGCTCTGCCCTCAAGTGCTGAATGCTCTCATCCAATTTAGTTTGCCAGATGGACAACGGCATGCCGGCGGGCTTCTCGCCTATGTCTATGGTTTTGTTTAGGAGACGCATTACATCGGCGGCCTCATTGCGCAGCGTACTGATCTCGGACTCATAGATATTTAATCGCTCCTCGGATTCTTTGAAAACATCATTGAATATACTACATGCATGGCTGTTCAGTTTCTCTAAATATGCCTCGCGAGTCTCGGGACCAAACATGCGCGCCCATAATTCACACAGGCGGTCTACCTGCTCAGCGGTCATTTCCAATATTTTATTCTTTAGCTTTGATTCGGACATTTTTCTTAATTTAATATTAAACACGTTGAACGAAGTGCAATAAATTTGTGTAAGCCGACGAAATTACAAAAAGTTATGACACAAAACTAAACTTCCAGCTTCAGAGCTAAAAAAATGACGCCAACTCAAATAAAAATTTCGGTAAATTCGAATTGAAACCGAATCGAATGCAACACTGTTGGAAAAGTGCAACAAGAGCGATAGTTGATATACAATCGATATGTCGATATTTAAAAACTGATATAATCGGTAGCGAATTTTTTTCAGAGAATATTTTAACTGTTTTTAATCCATACATTTGTATGTTCTATGCATAATGTACAAATAGTAGTGGAATTTATATTGTGTGCTGTATTAGAACTTTATTCTTTGAGTAGCAGAAAAGTAAAAGTATAATTTTTCTTTATTCAAAAAGAGTTGAACACTCGGCTCTTTCAAAAATTTGTAATATGTTGATAAAATCAATATATCGATATTTATTAGATTAAGACACCATATCAATATGTTAAGTGTCAAGCAGACTAAGGTAGGGCTGCAATACAAACATATCGACAGACTGCATTTGCAGTTGCCAGATCAACCGCATTCACACACACACACACATGGAACACATGCTTGGTATCCCTGAAAAATTGACATTCGCGTAAAAAGGCAAAGTGTTGTATTGCATGAAACGCTGGCAGTGCAGCGTTTTCAGTTTATTTTCATACGATAATCTATTATTTGTCGAATGCGCTTTTGATAATTGTGTGCCTCGATAAAGTGCAAAACTGTTATAATTGCAAAAATGATATAAAAGGCTAGTTAAAAGTAGACAAACGTTGTTCTACTTCTCTTCATAACACACACACATACACGAATTGCGCTGCCGCTCGGTCGGCTGAGTGTCAACAGCTGCCTCTTCTAGGTCCACACTCAAAATGTCGGACATTAAGTAAGTTACATATTTGTGGGATGGAAACCAAAAAAACCGATAATGTGGTGAAATCATGAAATGAAAAATATATAATGTTGTTAATATCGCGTTGAAATTCCAAAGTGCTCAAAAGTACTTCCTTCTGCTTAAAGTTTGTCTCTGTGTGTGTGAGTGAGTGTTCATTTACAACATACATAAATATATATATATATATATATATATATATATATATATACGTATGTATGGTGTATCGGGTGCGAATGAGATGTGTGTATGTGTAGTGTTCAATGGACATTTGCGGCTGCAAATTGCAGTTACATTGGGCTTTAGTATATATGTGTATGTGTATACAATTCGTTTTACCTTCTAGTGACGATCTGCTTCACTATGAGCTCGGCGACGATCTCGATGATCAGGCGCTATTGGGTGCCGACGAGGATGAGTTGCTGCTTTCAGACGAAGGTAGGTGGCCTGTCCCTCCTTTAATCCTTGAAACCATGCAAAGGTTTATTGATTTTTGCCATTTTGCAGAGCTGGAAAAAGATGTTACCAGCGAGGTAAAGCAACAAATGCGAGCCGAGGCCGAGGAATGGGCACAAGAGCAACTGCGTCAGCAGGAGCGCAAACGCGAGGAAGTTCAACCAATAGAAACTTCAATTACAGCGATAACAACAGCAAAAACTGCGCCACCATCAGCCGCAGCCGCTGCTTCATTAGAAACAACAACATCTACAACAGCCACAACAATGTTGTCAAGCCAAGACTGCGCACTGGAGCTAACAACGTTAAGCCCTAAAAGCCATGTAACAATAGAAACAACAAACTCCACAATTGTGGCAGCTGCCGAAACAACAACAGCAACCGTGTCAAACGATGTTCAACAGATTACAGAGCTTGCACCTGCAACATCGACAAGCAATATGGAGCCATTGCTGCCACTACCTAATGCGGATGCAGCGCCAACAAGCAATTTAGAAAGCGATAGCGCTCCAGTTATATGCAGCAAGGAAGCCCAGGACAATGGGGTTGACCAGGAAAAGGTCCAAGTTGAGATTGAAGATGCTGCTGGCAATCGTGATGTTGATGGTGAGAGTGCTGGCGTCGCCGCATATTCGCAGCTGGCCAGCTCTATGGAAAGTCTACCTAGTACCAGTTCAGCCTCGGCATCAGCATCTGAGCTGCAAGATCCGCGCGAGGATGATGAAGAGCGCGAAGAGCGCACTAATTACAAGACCGCCAGCGAACGTGCCGATAGCAACACCGGCCACAAGCAACAGTTGCTGCCGCATCCAACGCAATACCAACAACAGCTACAGGGGCGACATCATGGAGGTGCGTGGGTTATTATGCCTCAGATACTGGGCATATACTTAACAAAAATTAGTAAACAGATAAACTTGTTTTTTTCAAGCAAGCTGCAAGTTTATACAAAGAAGAAATTCCATTACATTTAACTGATCTGTCTGTTTTTCTGTCACCAGTCCAGTTATTTAAAAGCTGTGCAAGGTTTTAGGAGTATTTCAAGATTAACATAAGCCTATTGTAATTTTTTTAAATTGTTAAATTCCTTCATTTTGTTATTAATATTTTAAAGTACACCAACAACCAAGCACTGCTTTTGTACTGATAGGACTCGCTTACTTTTACGAAAGTAAACTAGAATTAGATGCTGTGAATGGGCAGAAATTATGATTTTGGGCTTTCTATGTGACTATGTTAACTAATTTACACATGTTCGCATGCTTTTCGCAGACAAAATGCGGATGGTCGGCGGCGGACCGCGATTCATGCACGGCGGCAAACAGCGAGGCATCGGACGCCATCATTTGCTGCGCAATCCCACGTGTCCAATGTTCATGGGTCAGTTATCGCATCAACAGCAACGTCAGCGAATGATTGCCATGCAGGCGATGCCACCACCAGCACGTTATGGCATGACGGGTAATGCACAAATCACTCTTATGACCGCTCCCTTAACTACCCTAACCCATCCTGCTCCCGGCGGTACATGCCTAATACATGGTACACCCAATCCGAGCACAAATCTTAATCCACTAACAGCAACACAATGTCTCATACCAACATTAGCACCACACCAGCAACAACAACAACAACAGAGTACACTAAACAAGAATACATTCATTCCAGGACAATATCCACCACAGCCAACACCAACACAACAACAGCAACAACAACAACAGTCGTTGTACTCCTCACCCAACAATCCGCCACCTCCATCAGTAGCTGTAGCCTCCATGTCCGCCTCCCCGCATCTACACAATCCACACCTGCTGCATCATAGTCCCAACAATGCGCCGGTCAACGCGTCCGCACCACCAGCGCCACAACCGCCCCATTTGCTGCCCCACCCGCAGGAGCAGATGCGAGTTGGACTCCTTCAGCCACCGTTGCACTCCGCATATCCGCCCAGTTTTCGAAATGGCGCACTACTTGGTCAGGGTCCGCCATCGCAGCCACCTCCGGGCATGCGTCCGCCCCACTATCGCAATGTACCACCCTATGGTGGTGGTGTGCCAGGGGCATCTGGCTATGAGGGTGCGCCGCAGCCCCTCCATCTTGGACCAGGTGGTCAGTATATGCGGCCGCACAATGGCTGGCGTCCAGAGGGTGTGGCGCCTTTGCCCGGCGCCCACAACGGTGGTGCTGCCGGTGGTATGCGTATGCCCCGGCCGCCATTGCAAGCGCTGCCGCCACACATGATGCCCGGAGCGCCTAACTACGCCAATGGGATGGGCATGCGACCCCCAATGCCACCACATCAGCAACAGCAGCAGCAGCAGCAACAACAACAACAGCAGCAACAAGGACCTCCTGTGAATGTGCAGACATCACCATCGTCAGCTGGACAGCAGGGTCCGCCAGTTCCACAATCAGCAGCCGCGCCAGTCGCTACCAACCCTGGAGCCGCATCGTCTGCGCCACGCGTTAGCAAAGTGCTAATCAATCCGAATTTTAAGGGAGGCGTCGAGGCGGCCACCAATAAATTCATTAAGGAGACACATTTCATGCCGGCCATCAATAGCGAGGCAGAGCTCTTGCGCCAACAGGAGGAGTTCATTAACAAGAATCGCCAGTACTTTGAGAAGCGTCGCATGGAGCGATCACCGCCGGCAGGCCAAAGTTCGGTGAGCGGACTGAGCGGAACACAACAAACACTGGAGCGGCGACGCAGCCGCAGTCGAAGTCGTTCGCGCGGTCGCAGTTACTCGCCGTTGCCCGCGCAGAAGCGGACAGAGCGTGAGCGCGAACGTGATCGCGAACGGGATCGGGAGAGGGAGCGTGATAGGGATCGCGAACGCTACGGCGGCAGCAGCGGCGGCGGTGGCAGTAGCAGCACCACAACTCGCGTAGCAGCTGGAAATCGCGTATTTCGCCGTGCCAATAGTCGTGAGCGCGACGAGAATCGTTCAGCGGTGCCAACAAAGCGGCGGCGCAGTGGCTCGCCCGTCGGTGGCACTCGTAATCCATTCTCGGGTGAGCCGCGAGGACGTGGCAATGAAACAGGCAGTCGCACCATAGTGAGTAGAAGCTGCAAAAAAGCCCCCCTATCCTTAAGCTAAACGATATTTATTACAGCAAAGCGATGAAGATGAGGAGACCCGAGCGTATCGGCTGGAGATTGAGAAGCAAAAGCAACTGCGTGAGAAGATTATGCGCGACAAGGAGTTAAAGCGTCGGCGTGCGGCTGAAGAGAAATTGCACGAGGTAAGTGCGATAGCTGGCTCAGTTATTATAGAAGTTGGCTTTTCAGCTTGATGCAATTTCAAAAGTTTCCAAGCTTTAAGAATTACATTCAACAGATATCAGATCTTATTCGGGGAAATTTTATAGTTTTTAGTTGAAAGTGCAAGAATTATCGTAATTTTTAAAACGTATCCAATTATAGGTAAATCAAAAAATCCTATATGTATATTTTTAAGTTGTAGGATTTTGAAAACGGGTGCAGGGTGAAGAGTATACTTTAACCTTTAACTCGTTTTATATTTGTTTATCTTTTAACTTGGGCTTTACATTAAAGCAAATAAACAACAACAACAACACCAATGGCTGTTGTTCATCTGCATTACAGGAGAAACGTGCCGAACAGTACAGTCCGGCGACGCCAAATGAGGCACGTGATGCAGAGACGTCCTTGAACGCGCCAAAGGCACGGCCCCTTTTAGTCACGGAGCGCAAAGTGATTTCGCTAAAGCGACGCGAGGACCAGGAGCAGGCGGCCAATCTGCGCAGTCGCCATCAACAGCAGCAGCAGCAACCACGCAAGCAGGTGACACCGGCAAAAATAGCGCCAGAGGCTAAGCGCAGCATAACCGAACACTTGGCGCCCTCCAGCAAGCATCAGCAGCAACAACAGTCACGTGCCGCTGGCGGCACTCCTCCTCCCAACAGCAGCAGTAGCAGCAACAACAACAACATGAGCAATAGCAACAATAAGACGCGCGATTTGTTGCGTCTCTGCACGTCCAGCGATGACGAAGTGGAGCTGGACTATGACGACGATGCGCTGCTGCTGGAAGAAGAGGACCGTTTGCTGGCAACGCCCTCGCCGCCACCGCCAAGTCGATCCGGTGGCACATCAGCGAAACGCTCCGCCACGCCCGAGCTGGTAGTCAATCGTAATCGGAAACTGGTGCGTGGATCGGCGATACCAGCAGCAGGGCATGCCGGCGAAGAAGTAGCAGCATCAGCAGTGGGCGGTGGACAGCGTAAGACGATAACCGCCAGCGGTAGCTTCGGCTCCAATCAGCGGCGTGTCGTCCTAAAGCCCACCAGCAATGGCAGCGAACAGCAGCAATCATCGCATAGCAGCAGTGGTGGCAACAACAGCGGTAGTGGTAGCGGTAACAGTAGGCAGCGTGAAAGGGAGCGGCGGATCCGTGAGCAACAGGAGCAACAGCTGCTCCAACGCAAAGGAAGCGGCGGGGGAGGCATATTCGATCGCTTGGAGAAGCGACAGGTTACTAGCAGTGGCAGTGGGAGTGGAAGCAGCAACAAGCAGCGCAACAAAGCGCCCGCACGCATTGTCTTGAAGCATGATTAGAAACAATATAACTGGAGGACCAGCATCGCCATCAACAACAACAACAACCACATGATTTCTTCTCTTTTTTTTGGTTAATTTTTTCCCTTGGCTGCATATTTTATGAAACCATGATTAAGAGATTCTATTCTATATATATACCATATAGGAGCATATGATGAAGTTATTAATTAAACAAACACATGTATATGCCCCAACAGCAACAACAACAAGAATGGGCAGCAATAATTATCGCTTGCCTGCCTGCTGTTCAATTCTTATTGTATAATTGTTAACTGTAACCCATATGTATTGAATTATATATATGATGACCACACACACATTATATAATAACACCTTACACTATTGACCACCCCAAACATAAACATAAGAATCTTTAAGCTTAAGTTCAAAAGTTTCAAGCAAAGCAACATAATTGTGTAGAATGTAGTAGAAAATAAATATATATACTAATATATATAGATTTATATAAAAATCTCTAATATTTAGATTAGCATTAAGTGTACAATAATTTGACTAAACGCTAAATTGTGTTTTTGCGTTGCCCCCCGAAGAACCCCCCACCCTCATAAACCTGTATTTAATTAGTTTAAATTATATTGTACATTTTGTTTGCATAGTTTTTTTTTTAATTTTTTTAAGATGGCTGCTCTACTCACATACCCTTTTCAAGTATGCGTAGTTAAACCGTCGCCCGAACAAGAACAGACTCAACATTATGTTTGTCATTCTATATATATACATACAGATATATGTATAAAACATCAACATTGTGTCATTTATAATTTTACAGGAACCAAAATTATGATTTTTAAGAACAAAGACGTGACTATCGATTGATTATTATTATTATTAATATTAAATTGTATATTTTTGATATCGCTCAATATTGTTGCAAGTATTTCTTCCCTCAGTGTATTTTGTATGTATTTAAACAGTCTGTCCTAAATGTCTCGATATTTTATACACAACTTTTTTTTAAAGTCATAAAGGCAATATAATGTTACATATAAATGAATTATAATTTAAATATGATAACAATACAATACAATAATTATTTTTGTCAACACAATACTAACTGTCCAACTATCAGCAGAAAACGTTTAGCTATAGCAAGTCAAGTTTCTTCAGTCGAATGTGTTTGAAAAAAATGTGTGCAAAATACATACAAAAAGCAATACCGTAATGGCCTAAAACTAATGAAACAAAACAACTTCAATTGTGTACTCAATTTATAGAAATATACATACATAGATATAGATATGTACAAAATTGCAGAACAGAGTAGAGACACACACAGCATACAATTACCACAAAATGTCGAAGCAGTGCATTCAAGAAAACCAACAAACAAAATCTGCAAGCCATACAGCTTACAAATATGCTAGACAAACTATAAGAAACAAAAACAAACAAACAAAAAAAATCAAATTATAATTATACTATTGTAAACATAAAAAGTAACATTATGAGAAACACTTCAAATAAAATTGCAAAACCAATTCTATAATTCTATAATAATTATATAAACCTTTACATATATACACAGTGCGCGGAATATGGAATGTTCGATCATGCTAAGTAACATCGTCTAGGGATTTAGAACATTTTTTGCAAGACGTTAACATTTGTTAAACGAAATATATACACAACAAATAAAAGACAAGAATTCGTCGAATGCAAACAAATATTTCACATACATTAAATATTTTAATTCAATTTTTTATTACCACACTTCATACTTCAAGAAAAAGATGTTGGATTGCTTTAATTATACTCCAGAGAACGAAAACAAAAACAATTAATTGTAAGCACGTATTGTTACTGATTAATGAAATAATAATTATATATATATATATTGTATTTCAAAAATTTTATGAATATACTATATATATACATATACATACATACATATGTATAGACGCTTATGACTTAATTATGTAAACAACCAAATGCGAGAAAACTAGCACAAATATTCGGCACTTAATTGAAAACAAATAACAGTGAGTTGATTTGAGATTGTCTAGGCGATAAGATATAAGTATAGTATATAGAAACATAATTGGGGCCCAGAAATTGTAAGTAGTTGCGAAATCAGCCTTTCAATGTTTAAAGAGATAGGCAAACCAAGCGACTGTTGTCTGCAACTTCAGTCCAGTCTTGTCAATCAACAGTGCAGCCTCTTTATATAGGCAATTCAGCATCCCAAAATATATATAGTACACAATGCAAATTGTTTTTTAATTGTTTTTACTAAATGTGCAAACGAATTGTTTACCAACTACCAATTACTACTTTTTATAATTCCCCGTAAAACTTACACACACACAAACAATTTTGTTGCGTCATATTGAAGAATGTTAGTCTTTAAAAAGATACATAGCGCGTATCTATCTCTTATGTTTATGTTTAGATAGTAAGCCTCGAGATCTAGATCGTGTTAAGAGTCTTAGACAGCAGCATAAGAATATGAAGATGGAGGAAGTATGAGGAGAAAGAAGCGCATACACAAATTATTACACATTAATGTATACATATACAAATTATTCATGCATTATTATTCTTATATATTACGAACTAATAAAAACAAAGTATATTATATATACATATACATACCTATATAATATTTTATGCAAAATTATTCCAAAAGCGTTTATGGCTTTTAAGCAAAACAAGACAAAAGAAAAACAAAAGCACTTTTTGCGAAATGAAAAGAGCAACAACAACAAACAAGACAAAAAACAAGCAAACAAAGAACAAATGCAAACCAGCAACAAACCAACAACAAAAAAGAAAGTCTGTGATTATTTTATATATACATATATACATATAATTATTACTATCTAATTGATTATTATATTTATAATTACTTGCATTTTTACTTTCCTCATTTTTTAATGCGTGTACAAAAACTAAGCTAAAAAAAAAACAAACAAAAACAACTTACCTAAAAACAAGACGTAGCCAATAAGCATTTAAACTACATAATATTAGTTAACTACACACATGCATTCAAACACACACATACACATTAGCATCAACACACTCTCACAAAGACAGCTACAATCAATCAATCAATCACACACTATAAGACACCATTAGAGCCATTTATATTTGCTAAGCTACAATTACACACACACATACACTATATATATAGTATATATATATATATATCTTATATATATATATATACATAATCTCTCTCTACCATATAACCGCACATAGTCTACAGCTAATTGTGATAATAACTAGTTGAGAAAAAAAAATCTGTGTAAGTTCTTCATTCTTCATTTTTACAATAATACAATTATTTTTTCAGTTCTCGCTTTACATCCATTAATTATTGATTTGTTTTTATTGTAATCGTTTTGTGAAACAACTTCATTCGATTCGAGACTTATTTTCATTTACATTTTCTATTCTACATTTTTAATTATATGCCTATATATAGAAATATATAATCTGTGTTCTATAAGACTTTAATGTGTATATACCTAAAAGGCACAAAAATCTGAAAACTGTTCTTCGACGCTTAGTTTAAATTTATTTAATGTCTGCACGAAATTATTTACATTTATAGTTTAAGCATACCAATTCGTTTATTGTTAAATTTGTTTATACATTTTTGTAACTTTCAATTCAATTTTTTTTCAATTGTTGTATCGATTTCTAGTGTTAATGTAACAAATGGTGCAAAGAATCTAACCTCAAAATAAGCTCTGCCAAGCTAACTTGGTCCTCCAACTTGTACCCCCTAAGTCTTACATCCCAGCTAGTTCTTTTCCTCTCTCTCTATATATATACCTCTTCGCTCTCTCTATCTCTCCCTCTCTTTCACACACGTTTGTTTGCCGATATTATCTCTATTACGTACATCTATAAAACGAAGAGCTCCTAAGTTAGTTTTTAATGGAAGTCTACACAAGGAACTAATTTTCTTTCAGCACGAATTTCTGTACAAAAAGTGAAGAAAAGACGTACAAAAAACAAAAAAAAAAAAACAAACAAAAAAGAGAAAGAAATTGTTTACAAAAAACTGAGTAAAATAATAAAAAAAAAATTGAATGCCTTTAAGGGCGGCAAGAAATAAAACGCGCGGCCCCCACAACGCGAGAAGATTGCGAAAGAACTTGAAGAAGACTAATAAAACTGATACTACATATATATATATATACATCAATAGTATATATATATAAACATATTCAAATTGCAATTTGTGTTTAAAATATGGGTGGGTGGGAGTGTATCTAAAACTTTATCATATTTTATTTAGCATCTGTACTGAAGACTCCACGAAGAGCTTTGCCTGAAGAATCATCTAACGATCTTAGGCGGAAGTAAACTACAACTACTACTGGCAGATCTTGTACCACATAAAGATCGTGATCTGAAGATGATGGAATTAAAATTGATATTGTGTTTTTTTGCTTATTTAATCTTAAATCCCCAAATTGGAGCTAAATAAATCAGTTTTCCACTCATTCGTAGCATATTCAAGGATATTTCAAAAATGATTCTATACATATCGCATAAATATCTGACGATGCTCTTGACATTCATGGACTCGAAGCTGCAAACAGTCGGCAATTGTCACATTATAGTAAATTAAGTCTGTCTCGCATAAGTCTCGTGACGGACGCAGATTAACAACAAAAGATTTATGAAAATGTCAACATTAGTCGAGCCAGGCGCGAGCTCGAGCCCACAGCATTGTTCTCTTCCCATCATAATAATAAATTCACTCGCTACGATGCGCTTCATTAGATGAGCAGCACAGCTATGATATGGAATTGGTAACTAAAGATGATTATACAAGTATTTGTAGGCCTGATTGTTTGCGAAAACAAAAATAACTACGGCTGTTCTTATTTCTGTTTTCAATCAAATTTGTCGAAATTATTTTGATTTTCCTCCTACCTCTCATATAGGAACTGTAGCTTGGTCAATAAATTCTTTTTTTTTTTTGACAACGGAATAATAATATTTCCTCCCGTCTTTTATTTTCTGCTTAAAAGCGTACAACTCAGCTCAAAGAAACTCTAGTTACTTTATACTATACTAGTCGTCGTATATATTTTGACAACCCTGGAGAAAATGTGAATGGTTAGTATGTTCGTCAGATCTGGTAGATCGTGAAAATAATCTTTGAGTTAAATAGAGCTCGAATCTAAACCATTTAAAATGTTTAACTGAGATGAGTATTAAAATATAGATTTTAAACAACTGTAAAATATAAAGCAAGACATGCAAAACTGATTTGATACGCCCATAAGTATTCGAAAATATATTAAAGACGGCTTATAGAAAGATTTGCATAGTTTGTCATAAAATAAGTGAAGATAAAATGATTTTAAAACTCGAACTGCATAATTGAATTTCTATAAAAATGTGCATATATTTAAAATCAAAGAAGCATATCTTAAAAATAAGAAATTATGCTCATAATAGTTAAACCATGAGTCAGCCTAAGAGGACAATAATCAACTTGTGAAGAAAAACTATACAAAGAGCAGTCATATGGATTGCTGTTGATGATGAAAGATTTTAAAGCAAAAGACTGTTAGAGAACAATGGCAGGCAAAGGTTGGAATGCTTTTGAAGCCTATTAAACCACATACATATGTCGACTACTGTTGATAGATAATAGAATCGTTACTACTATAAATTTCAAACACGACGACATTTTGTTAGGGATTCAAAAATTTGATAAAATGATGAACAACACTTCATCACTTTAGAAATTTTGGTATATGATAATTGTTCTATATATATATATGTATGTACATATACAGTGAAAACTCTCTTGGCCGGACACTCACGGTCGGCCAATTTCCGGTCCGCCCAAGGAGAGTGTCCGCTTAAGGGGATACTTAAATACTTTATACACCTATCGAATGTTTTCATAAAAAGTGTCCACCGAAGAGCGTGTACGGATAAAAGAGGTGTCCATTAAGGGAGTTTTCACTGTATGTACATACATTCTATCGATTTATCTAAGTATTTTATACATGAATAAATTAATTTATAATAAATCTAGTGTGAGAAGTACTTCAGCTATAAAAAAAAAACCCACAAAATTGGGTAAAAATTATCTTCATTTCTCTACTTACTTTACTTTTAGTTTAATGGATAAACTCATTTTCACATACATATACTTATATCGACTACTGTAGATGATAGCATTAAATGATTGTTGAGACAATTGCTGGGCGGCTCGCTATTGGACAGCCTTGATTGTTGTCGAACGTGTTGTTGTAAATTGATTTTTTGTCGTTTTCGGAAAGTGCTTCTGCCATCGTATTGAGATTGAGGCTCAGAGCTGAGAAGCGTTTCGTTTTCATATGTGTGTGTGTGTGTGTGTGTGTGTGTGTGGAAATTCTGCGGTGATGGGAAATTGTCGTCAGTGCACGAGTAAAGGTAAAGTCACGGCCAAGCTTTATGGTTTCGCACATAATGTGTGTGTGTGTGTCTGTGTGTATGTCTGTCTGTCGTTTGTAGTTTGTATTGAGGGGTATCTTGGGTTTTTCGCACAAGAATTGCATATATGTATAATAATTGTGTGAAGTGCTGACTTCGACTCCGACTCCACAATTATGCAAAGTGCAAGTTCAACGGAAAAGGCCGTGGCATTTATTTTTGTTGTATTTGTTTTCGTTTCGATTTTGATGTCATACCCCTGCACCACAACAAAGTCAACCACCACCCAATGAATAATACAAATTAATAACAAGCAGTACGCCCCCACCCCCCTTCCGATCTCCACACGACCACGCCCCTGCCAGTCAGCTGCAGTTTATTCACTTAACTCCGCTTCATTG